AGTAAGTCATCCAGGAAAAGTCAAATATCTAACACAATTCGGTCAAATGAAAAACTAGCCCGTTTTTCCTAGGCGACTTACATATAAGTCATCTGGAGTTTTTTTATACATACAAAACTGGACGACTTAGAGTAAGTCGTCCTTGGACAAGAAGACTTATCCGTAAGTCTTCTACATCCAGAAAACTTACGGGTAAGTCTTCTACGCGAACATATCTGGTAAAAATTTCAATTTCATACCTTAGACTAAGTGAGATGACTTCCTTAGCACACATAGTCTTCTCCAACCACCCAAAACATCAAACGAAAGTAACCCACCAAGAATTGTATGCTTAAATGGCTCTATCAACCATAAAAATTTTGGAATCAAAAGCTTGAGTTTTTTGTATGAATATGGAGACAAAGTGAAAGATATGTTGTTTTTAGTTCATAACAATTGAGAAAGAGAGTTTGGGTATTGATTTCAAGTGCATTAAAAGCTTCAAACTGGTTATACAAGGTTGTTGGGCGTATTCATGGCAATGGCAATGTTGTAAATACTTGAAGATGATGAGGTTGAGAGAGTAAAAAAGCCATTTTCGAAAAAATTACAAAAAAGTTTAATGACATTTTCGTAGATAAAGTGAAAATGTGGGGTAAATAGGGCAAAAGAAAGATAGTCAAAAGAAAAAGTCAGTTTTATGTTTGACTTTGAGTTATGAGTCAATTTTGCAAAAATCCCAAACATAAATTATGTCTTATTTAATTCATTAAAATCAATGTTTTAAATATGAATATCATATTGATAAATAAAATTTGTATATAGTAAGTACATTTTACAATTTATAATTATATTACTATATTTTAATTAATCATTTTATTAGATTTACATATGAAATCATATACATATACTGCGACTGCTTGAAATTAACATCAATTCAGTTTATTCGTTATTACCAAATCCTAACCATACTTTATTTTTATTTTGTTGGGTTTTAATTGGTTCACTTTTATCGGATTGAACACTCCCAGTAAAACATAAATAGTATAGGATTCATCATTTCACATTTACCTTGCCTTCTGATAGATAACAAATGCTAATACACTTTGGTAAAATTTTATAATTATTATTCAATAATATTAATAACTTTGTTATATCTTGAAATTCAAAAGTCTTGTCCTCACAGAAAGAGGTATTCTAACATAATGAGCTCCATTGTCAGTCCAAGTCAAGCTCCCAAAGAGATAATCAGTATTCCACCGATGAGTCGTGGAGACTTTCACAGTAAATGTAATATTCTTGGTGTTGGGACCAAACTCTAGAGTCTCAGGACTCACCTGAAGTTTAATACCAAGTGGCGGTTCGATCACAGCTTTGTAAACCGCATCAACCGGTCCGACATTGGTCACTGTTCGAGTAATAATGATCTCTTCATTCAGATATGGAATTGTGATGGAAGGCAAGTTGACATCAAGCATGGATGGAGTTGGAGAAGGGCAAGTGTATCTTTTTCCAAGTAATTTTGAGATGGATTTATTTTCGTAGCCTGCGGAGCACAAGTAGTGAGCATAATCATCATAGCCCATGTCGTAGACAAGTCCCGGGTCTGCTACTTTCCCCGGGTTCACCAGGCCTCCTCCATAGTCAAACGGGTCAGCAAGTTTCCGAGGGGAACCCTCCGCTACAATAGGCTCTCCGAATGGGTCCGTTTGAAATGCTGCAAAATGCTTATCATTCACTCACTTGGAAAAAAACAAAATAGCTATAGAATTTCTTCGAGAGCAAGAAATAAATATATTTGCGCGAGCAAAAAGTATATGTGAATAAAACGGTATATGTATGTGTTTACCGGTTGTAACCAGAGCGGATCGGATTGCAGCAGGAGACCAGTCCGGGCGTTTTTGTCTAAGAAGTGCGACTATTCCTGAGACAATAGGTGTGGACATCGATGTCCCCGTCATGAATCCGTATCCTTCTCCTGATCGTACGGATGCAAGTATACCTACACCTGGTGCTGCTATATCAGGCTGTATTCAAAACCACAAGCCAACTTCAGTACAACTGAAGGTAAGAGAGCAAAAAGTAAGTAAGGAACTCATTTATAGTTCACCTTGAGAATAGCAGGAGATATTGAATTGGGACCTCTAGACGAAAATCTTGCGACCTTGGTCGAGAAGGGTCGACCAACGAATGTCTTGGTAGGGCTGATCTTTGCTTTTGGAAATCTTCGGAAAACCATTTCAATAAAAAAAAAAACTCTATTTCATCAAAAAGAATTCATATAGAAATGTGGAGAATGAGAAACTTACTTATTTGTTTGGAGATACAACATTATGTCCATCCCAATTTCGTAGTCTACGTACGCACGAGAGGTATTTGTGGTGCCCAGTTTTACGTAGTTGTCGAATGGTTGCGTCGCAATAATCAAGCCAACAATGCCATTAGCTTTTGCAAAAGCTTCAATATCATCTGGCAATTTATTTCTAAAGGCAAACAAGATTTTTCCCTTAGCTTTACCGGCTTGAAATTCATTGTCGGTCAAGTCGCCGAAGTAAACAATACCAGTGAATCCGACTTCTTTTCTCGTGTATAGAACATCTCGACCCTAAGAATGAGATCCCACAAAAAAAAATAGTGTCAAAATCAATTGCTACGACGGTTTTTTGGACCGAGAGTTAAAAGGAATGGCTACGTATGTATATTAAGATAAGGATAACTACAATATGGAATATATCCATAACTTAATAACGTACCAGTACAGTTACATTGTTTCCAAGAGTGATGGGCGTGAAGAACTCTCGGTCCATGGTCGTAGCTGCAACATTTATGATCCACGGAGCAACGTTCGAGATGGTTTGTGCGTAGGGACCCTCGTTCCCACCAGCGCACACCACGGGAATTCCCTTCATAACGGCGTGGAAAGCACCAATAGCAAAATCATCTCTATCAACCTCGAAATCAAGAGGTATTTCGTCTCCGAGTGAGAGCGATAGAACATCAACGCCATCACGAATGGAGTGATCTATGGCTTTTAAAATATCTGGTGTAAAGCATTCTTCCTTGCTCCAACAAACTTTGTAAGAAGCTATGCGGGCTCGCGGGGCACTGCCTCTAGCAGTTCCCAAAGCTAGACCGAAGAAGCTTGCGTCCTGGACAAAAGAACCCGCGGCAATCGATGCACAATGGCTTCCGTGACCGATTTTGTCCAAGGGCGACATGACCTCGTCTTTCTCCGCCGGGTTGAAAGTCCCATTGTACTTTTTAAGGAGACCCTTTGCGTAGTAACGAGCTCCGATTAACTTCCTATTGCAGCTTGATGATGCGTTGAACCCATCTCCTGAAACACATCGTCCCTTCCAACGCGCCGGGATTGGTCCAAGACCCATGTCATTAAATGACTTTGAATCTGGCCATATTCCTGTGTCCAGGATTCCTATGATTGCTTCACTTCCCATATCAGTTTCATGGAGGAGACCAGTTGGAGTGGTTGGAGAGAGTCCCAAGTAATCATTCACCCTTGTTGTTGTCAGCTTCATACTTTTGCTTCTCGTTACATGAACAACATCCGGATGTTCTATATTAAAGTGAATATCTAATTAGTACTGTTTCTGAGTGTTGACCTAATTCTTGTGCAACACGCTCCTAATAGGCATCAAATTTTACCTGACAGTTCCCTTGCTTGAGATGGTGTGAGCTTCGCTGAAAAGCCTGAGAAGCCATGTCTGTAACTATAAATCATGGACTCACGGGAAGCTTTTTTGCTGCATCATCAGTCAAAAACATTCAAATGAATCATAAACCAATATTTTCCTCACAACATTAATCATGATCTTCGGGAAGAATATATAGACCAATGCACTTGATTAATTAATTACCTTCCAAGAAGCGATCTGAGAATATCATAATGCGAATCCGTAACAAGTTTAGGATCATCATGTTGCCTCTCACCCAAATGCACCGTGTAAATCTATATAAGATATACCATCACCGAGATTATTAAAATATCACATATATAAGATTATAAGATAAATAAATCGACCATTTATAAGTACCTGGCTTTCCTGATTGGCAGAAGAAACTAAGGCTACCTTCAAGATTAATACTAAACATATGAACACAAGTGCAATATGCTTCCTATGATTTGATACAATCAGAGAAGAAAACCCCATTTTTCTGGGATCTAAAAGTTGTTGTTGAGTCTAATTCGTTTTCTATAAGAATATAATTCCAAGAATATTAGCGTTTTTATTCTTGAACCTCCTCAACAATGTCCTCTTTGATTGTATCCCAGAAGCGTAATGATGATTATATTCAACTCTTCTGGTATTTAAACTGAAGGATTTGGAAACTAAAAATTTATGGGAGTCTTTTTAGCTTACCGCAAAGATAGGACATAACACCAAAAGCGAAACTGTTAATCTGGGACTACTGTGGTTTATGGTTTGGGACAAAACAAGTTAAAACTTAAATCAGTTGTTTTTCATTTTCTCTCATAAGTCAAAACCGTTATGATAGGATAAATGTTTAACAGAAAACGTTCCATAAAATATCATTTAAAACATAACTTCCTACACTTCTAATAACGCTTGAGAATAGGCCAGGTTGACTTCTTTACACTACCCAAACAAACTAAACTCACACAAAAACTTCCGAAAACTTCAAAACGCCTTAAACTTGCCTAGCTTATCGATTAGGGAAAACGGCTTATTCATACCCGAACTAATAGTATCTGGGAAAACATACCTAAATATTTTTTGTGTGCTAAAACATATCTAAACTTTTTTTACATGCAAAAACAAACCTAAATTTTCTTGTGTGTGAATTACATCCACGAACTTATAAAATCCATGCTAATGCATACATTGACATTAACGATGTTTAATGAGAAATTTTCTAGGATAATCTCTTTTAATTAATTTTTTAAAAAAAAAATTAAAATAGAAAATGACCAAAACTTTTTTTTGTTTAAGGAAAAATATATTTTTATACCTATGAGGTTAAATAACCCTAGCCATTTTTGTTTAAAGTTAAGGGTGGGATTTTGGACTAGAGTTTAAAATATTTAAGAATAAAAAATAAATATTAAAATTTTTAAAACATATATTTGACAAATATTTTCAAAAAGAATTTTCGAATTTTTAAAAGAAAATTAAAAAAAAATAAAAAAATCAGAAAAACAATTTCTAAAGAAAAAAAATTTATTAAAAAGTGAAAATCTAAAAAAATTATAATCCAAAAATATAAAAATAATTTTTATTTTATTTTAATCTTTAATTTTTAAATTTATTATATATATGTTTATAAAGCAAATGGTACAAAAGTATTTTTTTCTCTTTTTAAGCTTAGATTTTAGTTGCGACTAACAATAAAATCTTTTGGTCCAAAATCACAAATTCTAACATATTTTGGACTTTTATATAACATGTTTATATGTGAAGCTAACTAATCAATCACATATTATCCTATTTAGTATCGTTAACTATGATTAAATATTGTTAATGTCAATGTATGAATTAGCAAGGATTTTATAAGTTCATGTATGTAATTCAAATTATGTATAATTTAGGTATGTTTTCGCACACAAGAAAAGTTCAGGTATGTTTTCGTACACAGAAAAAAATTAGGTATTTTTAGCACGTAAAAAATGTTTAGGTATGTTATTTCCAGAAACTCATAGTTCGGGTATGAATAAGTCGTTTTCCCTTATCATTTGTCCACCCAAACTTACTTATTCTATTAGAATCTACAAATTCTCTATTTTTTTCTTTATTATTATGATTTGTGATCTAAGAGCATCCGCAACGAGAGTCCATAATAAGGAATTCTTAGAGAAAAATAATTAAATAATCAGTAGATCCCATAAAAAGTTAAGGATTCTAAATAAAGATTATCTTTTAGTGAATCCTTACACTATTTGTGGGTCCTCACAATATATGATGATCCAAGATTGGTTAGTATTTTTTTAATCTAAAAAATAATAATTAAAAAATCAAAAAGTATTTTTTCTAAAGACTCCAACGGGATATCTCCAACTGCGATAGTAAAAATGCGTTTAGCTAGTACAAAATATATTCTACTCTAATAAATGTAAAATTGAGTTGCAAAAGGCTCTTCCATAATAGAAAACATTAGTCTGAATTTTGTTCTTTACTGTCTACCATGAAACTTACAAATTAAGAGATGTCAAACCTTTCATAACAAGGTAAAGAATACAAGCGAAAATCACTCATTCATGAAAGTAAAAAAACTACAATATTCAGTCGAACTTTTGACATCTTCTTATTAGATGAGAATGTAAATGTTTATAACTATAGAACTAAAGGTTGTTAGAATATATGTGTTGTGACAGATGTGAGAAGATATAGATTAACAGACTGGATGAAAAGAAAAGAAAGATACAGAGATTTAACGTGGTTTGATCCACAGACAAAAGGAGTACTTTATTACTGGAGGCTAATTTTTCAGAGTACAACTCGTGTTACAGACTAGGATAAAACCCTAAAGACTAGGGCAAAAGGAGTACTTTATTACTGGAGGCTAGTTTTTCAGAGTACAACTCGTGTTACAGACTAGGGTAAAACCCTAAAGATATATAAGAAAACGTTTAATGAAACTTTCCATATTTTCTCGGATTTGACAATATCGATCGATACACAAGCTCTTTATCGACCTATACGTGTCCGGTCAGATCGACCGATACATGACACCTGTATCGACCGACGCAGATTCAAGGCATATTTCAACAAATCTCCACCTTGACTTGAATCCTCCATAATCAGATGTACCAGGATGAACTTCTTCGTGCTCAGATGTACCAGACTCTCTCTTTGCCTCAGATGTTCCGTCGAACTCAGATGTCAGATGTTCCGTCGAACTCAGATGTCAGATGTCCCGTCGGACCAGACGCTCTTCAGAGCCAAATACCCCTTAGGGCCAGATGCCCATCAGGGCCAGATTAACAGCTTGAGATGTTCAGCAAATCAAGACAATGCTTGAACTTGCTGTGAGGAACCGGCTTATTGAACATATCTGCAGGATTATCAGCTGTTCCTACCTTCTTCACTTCAATCCTCTTCTCATCTCTCAGAAAATGGTATCTTACATCAATATGCTTGGTTCTATCATGATGAACCTGATCCTTGGCTAAACAGATAGCACTCAAACTATCACAAAACACAGTAGCCTGATCATGATGAAGACCAAGATAACTGACCAATCCTCTCAACCATATTGTCTCCTTAGCAGCTTCTGTCAATGCCATATACTCTGCCTCAGTTGTAGACAAAGTCACCGTCGACTGCAAAGTGGCCTTCCAGCTCACAACAGAACCACCCAAAGTAAATATGTAACCAATCATAGATCTCCTGCTGTCCACATCTCCTGCATAATACCAAACATAATAGCATGTAACCATGCTAAGATCCTTATCTCCGTAGACAAGACCAACATCAGATGTACCCTTAAGGTACCAGAAAATATTGAACTCAGAATTCAGCAGCTCTTTCAGCTTCTGAACATCATACATCTTCTTGGAAGCTATCAGCTTGTCATCTACATATAGCACCAGGTAGATACACGAAACATCCTCCACCTTGCTTATGTAAAAACAACAGTCATAAGGACTCCTGTCGTAGCCCAACTTGACCATATAGCTGTCACACCTCTTGTACTCAAGTGTGACCAGATCCCATGTATGATTCTTCTCATGAGAATCTATCTCATCTTCCATTGCAACAACTCATTTCTCAGACTCAGAACTAGAAATAGCTTCCCTGTAAGTGAATGACTCATAAGTATCCACTTGCTCTGCAACCTGCAGTGCATAACCCACCATATCATCAAAGTGATATCTCTCGTGTGGCCTGACATCAACTCTCCTTGGTTTATCTCTAGCATTACTGCATTTTTCAAACTCAACACGTTGATTTCCAGAAATAGAGAACTCGTCTGACATCGATCGTTCGATCCCTTCTTCTGATATCGATCGATACTGAACATCTGACATCGATCGACACTATTGACCAGTCATCGATCGACACTGTTGATCCTTCATCGATCGACACTATTGATCCTTCATTGATCGACACTGTTGGTTCGACTGCACTTCATGCAGCTCCACCTGTTTGTCAAAATCCCCATTCCCTGCTTCAGACTCATACTTCTTCTCCAAACATGCATTAGAAAACATGCACCTCGTTTTCTCTAGCAAAGTTTGGTTCATATCTGCTACACCATTTTTCGGTGGTGTCTCTCTGACTGTAAGATGCTTAGTAGCTGTTGCATCCTTACAAAACTGATTGAACTCTGATGAACAAAGTTTCAGACCATTTGCTGAAACTGTAGAACCTTCCAGCAAATATAGAGTATCATGAATGAAACCTCTCAGAATCACATATAAACCCTTGTAGACACTCAGAACTCCATCTCCACCTGAATACTTGAAACCTCTGCTATCCAAAAGACTAACTGAGATCAAGTTCTTGGACATGGACGGAACATGTCTAACTCCAGTCAATGTACATATTCTACCACCATGTGCCCTGAGCTTTATCGAACCGATTCCTGCAACATCGCAAACGAAGTCATTCGCCATCTTGATCTTGCTATCAGTCACCTCCTCATACTCTGAGAACCATTCTCTCCTTGGACACATATGATATAACGCTCCTGTGTCTAGAACCCACACATCCCTAGAATGTGTTTTTCCATAAGAAACTAGAGCAATATCGTCATCAGACTTAGCTTCATTCTCTACTACAGCAGCGGAATCAGCTTGCTTCTTCTTCTTAGGACAATCAAATTTCCAATGTCCTCTTTCATTGCAATAATGGCAAATATCAGTTGGCTTAGGACCCTTTGTAAACGACCTTTTGTCTTTCCCAAAGTTCTTTCCACCACCTACAAACAACCAAGAAGCTTGGTCATCTGTACCAGAACTAGATGCCTTGTGACGCAACTCCCTGCTATGAAGTGCCGACCTCACTTCCTCCAAACTCACTGTATCCTTACTCCCTATGAATGACTGAACAAAGTTCTCATATGAGTTAGGAAGTGAAACCAATAAAATCAGTGCCGCATCCTCATCCTCCACCTTAACGTCAATATTCCTCAGATCCAACATAATGGAATTTAGACTATCAAGGTGATCCTGAAGTTGTGTACCTTCCTGCATCCTCAGAGNTGACTGAACAAAGTTCTCATATGAGTTAGGAAGTGAAACCAATAAAATCAGTGCCGCATCCTCATCCTCCACCTTAACGTCAATATTCCTCAGATCCAACATAATGGAATTTAGACTATCAAGGTGATCCTGAAGTTGTGTACCTTCCTGCATCCTCAGAGCGAAAAGACGTTGTTTCAGAAGTAGCTTCTTAGTCAGATACTTCGTCATGTATAGACTCTCCAACTTCAACCACAAATCAGCTGCAGTATCAACACCAGAAACCTTGATGATGATCTCATCTGCCAGACACAACAAAATCGTTAAATACGCCTTCTCTTCAGTAACCTCCATCTCAACTGTAACAGATTCAGCCTTCTTCCCTGACAACGGTGCCCAAAGACCTTGTTGCTTCAGCAACGCCTTCATCTTGATTTGCCAGAGACTGAAACTGTTCCTTCCAAAAAACTTGTCGATCTTCATATTCATCCCAGACATCTTCTCACCAGATTTAACCCGAAGCTCTGATACCAGTTTGTTGTGACAGATGTGAGAAGATATTGATTAACAGATTGGATTGACAGAAAAAGAAAGACACAGAGATTTAACATGGTTTGATCCACGGGCAAAAGGAGTACTTTATTAGTGGAGGCTAATTTTTCAGAGTACAACTCGTGTTACAGACTAGGGTAAAACCCTAAAGATATATAAGAGAATATTTAATGAAACTTTCCATATTTTCTCGGATTTGACAATATCGATCGATACACAAGCTCTTGTATCGATCGATACACAAACTCTTGTATCGACCGATACGTGTCTGGTCAGATCGACCGATACATGACACATGTATCGACCGACGCAGATTCAAGGCATATTTCAACAATATGTCGGTTAATATCTGATTTGCAGTTACATGATCTAACGTTTTCACTTTTTTTATCAACAGAGAACCGAGATGAATTTCCTTGATTGTTTTTCGATGAACGAGTCTTATCTCTGTGTCTCACGCCATTTCTCCTTCGTTTTGTTCGTTGTATTGGTAACGTTGAAATTAGTTGCCCCTTATTAGCAAAATTCCTTAAATAGTATACGATTCATCACTGTCACATTCCCATTGCCTTCAGAAAGATAACAAATGAAAATACACTTTGGCAAAATTTATAATTGTTATACGATAATGTTAATAAGTTTGTTACATCTTGAAGTTAAAAACTCGTGTTCTCACAGAAAGAGGTATTCTAACATTTTGAGCTCCATTGTCAGTCCAGGTCAAGCTCCCAAAGAGATAATCAGTATTCCATCTATGAGTTGTGGAGACTTTCACAGTAAATGTAATCTTCTTGGTGTTGGGACCAAATTTTAGAGTCTGAGGACTCACCTGAAGTTTAATACCAAGTGGCGGTTCGATCACAGCTTTGTAAACCGAACCAACAGGCCCAACATTGGTCACAGTTCTAGTAATAATGATCTCTTCATTGAGGTATGGAATTGTGATGGAAGGCAAGTTGACATCAAGCATGGATGGAGTTGGAGAAGGGCAAGTGTATCTTTTTCCAAGTAATTTTGAGATGGATTTATTTTCGTAGCCTGCGGAGCACAAGTAGTGAGCATAATCATCATAGCCCATGTCGTAGACAAGTCCGGGGTCTGCTACTTTCCCCGGGTTCACCAGGCCGCCTCCGTAGTCAAACGGGTCAGCAAGTTTGCGTGGGGCACCCTCCGCTGAAATAGGCTCTCCGAATGGGTCCGTTTGAAGTGCTGCAATTAATGCGTATCAGTCACTTACTTGGAAGAAAATAAAATAGCTATAGAATTTCTTTGGGAGCAAGATAAAATATATTTGCGTGAACAAAAGTATTATTTATGTGTTTACCTGTTGTGACGAGAGCGGATCGGATTGCAGCAGGAGACCAGTCCGGGCGTTTTTGTTTAATAAGTGCGACTATTCCTGAAACAATAGGTGTAGCCGCAGATGTCCCCGACTCGAATCCGTATCCTTCTCCTGATCGTACGGCTGCAAGTATACCTACACCTGGTGCTGCTATATCAGGCTGTACTTAAAAAAAATCACAAGCCAACTTCAGTACAACTGAAGGTAAGACCGTAAGAGAGCGAAAAGTAAGTAAGGAGCTCATATATAATTCACCTTGAGAATAGCAGGAGATATTGAATTGGGACCTCTAGACGAAAAGCTTGCGACCTTGGTCGAGAAGGGTCGACCAACGAATGTCTTGGTAGGGCTGATCTTTGCTTTTGGAAATCTTTCGGAAAATTATTCCAATAGAAAAAAAACTCTATTACAATAAAAAGATTTCATATAGAAATGTGAAGGATGAGAAACTTACTTATTTGTTTGGAGATACAACATAATGTCCATCCCAATTTCATGGTCTACGTAGGCCCGAGGGATATCCGTGGTGCCCACTTCTACGTACTCGTCGAATGGTTGTATCGCAATAATGAAGCCAACAATGCCATTAGCTTTTCCAAAAGCTTCAGTCTCATCTGGTAATTCGTTTGTAAAGGCAAACAAGATTTTTCCCTTAGCTTTACCGGCTTGAAAATCCTTTTCTGTCAAGTCGCCGATGTAAAGAATACCAGTGAATCCGACTTCTTTTCCCATGTATAGAACTTCTTTACCCTGAGAATGAGATCGTCACACAAAATAGAGAGTAAAGTGAATTGGTTTTATTGTATCACAACCACACCAATACGTTACGTACCATTACGGTTACATTGTTTCCAAGAGTGATGGGCGTGAAGAACTCTCGGTCCATGGTTGTAGCCGCGACAGTTATAATCCAGGGAGCAATGTTCGAGATGGTTTGTGCATGGGGACCATCGTTCCCACCAGCACATACCACGGGAATTCCCTTCATAACGGCGTGGAAAGCACCAATAGCAAAATCATATCTGTCAACCTCGAAATCAGGAGGTATTCCTCCTTCAACCGAGATCGATAGAACATCAACGCCATCGCGAATGGCATGATCTATGGCCTTTAAAGTATCTGCTGTAAAGCACCCTTCCTTGTTCCAACAAACTTTGTAAGAAGCTATGCGGGCTCGCGGGGCACTGCCTCTAGCAGTTCCCGAAGCTAGACCGAAGAAGCTTGCGTCCTGGACAAAAGAACCCGCGGCAATTGATGCAGAATGGGTTCCGTGACCGATTTTTTCCAAGGGCGACATGACCTCGTCTTTCTCCGCCACGTTGAAAGTCCCATTGTACTTTTTGAGGAGACCCTTTGCGTAGTAACGAGCACCGATCAACTTTCTGTTGCAGCTTGATGATGCGTTGAACCCATCTCCTGAAACACATCGCCCCTTCCAACGCGCCGGGATTGGTCCAAGACCCATGTCATTAAATGACTTTGAATCTGGCCATATTCCTGTGTCCAGGATTCCTATGATTGCTTCACTTCCCATATCAGTTTCATGGAGGAGACCAGTTGGAGTGGATGGAGAGAGTCCCAAGTAATCATTCACCCTTGTTGTTGCCAGCTTCATACTTGTGCTTCTCGTTACGTGAACAACATCCGGATGCTCTATATTACATATCCAAAGTGAATTTTAATTAGTACTGTTTCTTAGTTTTGAACTATTTCTTGTGCAACAGGCTTTAAGAGGCATCAAATTTTACCTGACAGTTCCCTTGCTTGAGATGGTGTGAGCTTCGCTGAAAAGCCTGAGAAGCCATGTCTGTAACTATAAATCATAGACTCACGGGAAGCTCTTTTGCTGCATCATCAGTCAAAACATTCAAATCATCATAAACCAATAATCTTTTTTGAACTTGGCACGAACAACTTATATTCCGCACAACCCTCATGATCTTCGGGAAGAATATATAGACCAATGCACATGATTAATTACCTTCCAAGAAGCGAACTGAGAATAGCATGATGTGAATCCGTAACAAGTTTAGGATGATCATGTTGTCTCTCACCCAAATGCACCGTGTAAATCTAACCATCACCGAGAATATTAAAATAGCACATATTTAAGATAAATAAATCGACCATTTACATTAAAACACTATAAATTCGTACTCTATAAATTAATAATTTTCGCTGGTTCTAAGTTGGGTCGGTTTAAAATATGACATAAATCAATAAAATATAAGATAATATTATTTTAAAAAATCTTTTGTATATATTTCCACTAAAATTATAAATTAATAATGAATATATATATATATATATATATATATATTTATATACATAATTTCTTATAAGTATGAACCTAGTATTATTTTTTTTATTTTATATTCACAATAAAATTATTTTTTATATCTTCTTAATATTTAATATATTTTGATGAAATTTAGTAGAAATATATCTAAAACCACATTATTTTTTAAGAAATGTATTTTATATACAAAAATAATATAATAAACCTATATAAATGTCAAATTTAAAAAATTTAATATAAATACATAATAATCAAATATTTTCTTATTTAAAATATATATCCGATCATAAAAAATCTAGATAGGAATTTTTTTTTTATAAATTAATAAAATATTATACTCCCAACATTATTAATATATATTGTATCATGTACCTGGCTTTCCTGATCGGCAGAAGAAACCAAGGCTATCTTCAAGATTAATACTAAACATATGAACACAAGTGCAATATGCTTCCTATGAATTGATACAATCAGAGAAGAAAACCCCATTTTCTGAGATCTAAGAGTTGTTGTTGAGTCTAATTCTTCTATAAGAATCTAATTCCAAGAATAGTAGCGTTTTTATTATTGAACCTCCTCAACAATGCCCTTTCTAATTGTATCCCAGAAGCGTAATGATGATTATATTCAACTCTTATGGTATTTAAACTGAAGGATTTGGTAATTAAGAATTTATGGGAGTCTTTTTAGCTTACAGCGAAGATAGGACATAACACCAAAGCTAAACTGTTAACTGGGACTACTGTGGTTTATGGTTTGGGACAAAACAATCCGTTTCTTTCTTATATAATTAAAACAAGTTAAAACTTAAAACAGTTGTCTTCATTATATCTCATAAGTCAAAACCGTTATGATAGGACAAATGTTTAACAGAAGATTTTCCATAAATATCTTTAAAACGTAATTTCCTAGACTTCTAACAACTCTTGAGAATAGGGTTGATTTCTTTACACTGCCCAAACAAAACTCACACTAAAAAATACCCAAACTTTTAAGTTCTTTACTAAACACCTTCAACTTATGTAGCTTATCAATTGTCCACCCAAACAAACTAAAATTACCTAAGCTCCTTAGACGTGTGCTTGTTGTTAAAAGCCGAAATCAACATTATGCACTGCATCAGTCCCTCCCTGTTAGAAAAGATTCATCTCTGAATCTTGAGCCTTACTCAGCTAGTAATGACAGCTGGCGATGTTTAGTTGAGATGTATCACATTTTTGGAAGCCAAAACAACAAACCAAAACATTAAAAAGAATTAAAAGTAATGTGATAACAATATAACAATAATTTTTTTATGATTAATGCTATGAACACTGAAGAATACATATATTAATCGTTCAATATATAAGCTTAGAAGATTGAACGGATTATATCAATAGAACATGTGAGAAATTTGCAATTATGAAATGTTTTGCATAGGGTTAATTCGTGTGATGTCCATATTGAGACAAAAATAAAGAAAATGACCATGTAATAATACTCACAGTGGGATGTGACTTTATTTCAAAAATGATATTTTCTCGTTTTCAGCGTATGGCAACGATATCTACGCGCTACAATGCAGACACACATTTATTTTATTTTCTACACAGATATTCTATACCGATACTTATAGAATAGCGTAATGTTATCGGTATAGAATATCAATGAATATCAATAATACTCACAGTGGTATATTCTTTTTTTTTTTTGAACAAAACAGTAACTGATAACATTACCTAGTTAATACGAAAACAATGATGAAAGAACTGAAGCAATAGAAATAGACACTACAAGTCTAGCAATAGCGAAAGAAAAAATTGGAAACTGGAAGCACGGCGGAAGAGAAAGAGGTAACATTGTGAGAACATCTCTAGTATTGTAAAATACCATTTTCAAAATAGAATAAAAAGGAATGTGGAGTAAAAATGCTTCAATCCTACTTCATATCCTATTTCATAATAGAGTAATGAACAAACAAAAATAGCTTATTCCATTTATGGAGTACACTTTATTATGGAGTAGGTTATGAAATTGGGTTGACGTGTTTTTTTAATTTATATTCTTGTTTACTCATTTTGGAGTAAAAAATAGAGTTGGATTGGAGTTGTCCTAACAAAAAAGCTGCCTTGCAATTATCTTTTAACTAGGGTTTTAGTTATAATCTAAAATAGAAATTTGACTAATAACTAATTAATAATATATTTTAATACTATATCTGTTATTAAATTTTATATCATTTATTTTTCAAATGTTGGCAACTGTTATTCTAAAAAAAAATGCCCACAAGCATTATTTCAGCTAAAGACCTTACAAACTTTATTCTTTTTATAAACATAAAATAAAATCCTAAAACATGCCCCTAAATTTTGATGCCCTAAACCATTTCTTCATTGGCCTATGCCATGAGCCGACCTTGAGGAAGAGAAAAAAAGAGGAGTGAGAAGGAGAGAGGAGTGAAGAAGAGAAGGAGGAGTGACGAGTGAAGAGGAGGATGAATGAGTGATAAGGGAGGAGGGAGAGGAGGAATATGAGGTTGCGGAGTGAGTGAAAATAGACGAATAAGAGTGAAGAGTGAAGAGAAATAATACTATATTGTATCCATAGATTGAAATAGTATACGATAATAGGAAAAGTAAGTGAGAAGAGAGGAATGAGGAGGAAGATTAAAGAGTGAGCAGAAGAAGGAGGAGTGAGTTAGAAGAAAGGAATAAGGAGGGGGATGAGGCCTACTATATTGTATTCATTATATAGAATAGTATACGATAATATTACAATTTATTATAAATAAATATACTCCCTTCGTTTCAAAAAGATGAATATTCTAGGAATAATATTTGTTTCAAAAAGATGTATTTTTTTACATTTTCAATGTATAATTCAATGAAAAATTGTAGATTCTAAAAATATTAATTGTGTTTCTTAAAATTATATTGGTTAAAAATATAGGGATTTTTGTTATATATAATAAATACTGCATTGGTAATTAAAATTTTATGTTTTCTTAATATGTGTGAAAAATCTAAAACGTTTAACTTTTTGAAACGGAGGGAGTGTATAATTATTGAATAAAAAGGAAAAAATAGAGAAATTATGTCTTTAATAGTAACAAAAACAGATAGATACATAGGTATATGTAGAAGTTTTTGTTATTATTAATTATGGTGCAGTGCGATGCGTAAATACTCAGACTCTTAAAGTTATGTGACTTTCTTTGCATAAAATTTTAGACCAATCAATTCATATCAGTGGTATTCAGTTGCTTATATAACCAAGAAATCTTATTCTATTCTATTTGTTATCATCGGGAAAATATAGTAAAGTATGTGAAAGAATTTCAATTCATATGCATTTTTAGAAATATATATATTGAAAAAAACAAGTTATAACATATATAGAAAAATGTAAATATAACTCTTCAGCATAATATTTTGGTTATACAAATTGTGTTAGAAAGATTAAAGGAAAAATAATAAAGATGGGATGACAATTTTAGTAACAAAGAAAAAAAATAAAAATAATATAGAGAGAGATGAGAAATGAAAGTTGGAGAACTCATTTGTACATCACACGAGAGAGTTATGGATATTTTCATTCAACTACTCAATATCTAGGAGTTTTCCTGCGCCATGCGCAGAAAGAATAATTTTAATTAATATTGTTTTACATTAAAAAATACTTTACATTGTGACATTAATATTTTCATATTTAACTTCAGAAATTTTACTCAAATGTTTTTTTAAAATTTTTTATACTTTTGATTGGTCTAATTATATCAATTTAATGATTTAAATTTTAATAAATTTTAAGTTTATATTTTAAACAAAATTTTACTTATATTTTACTTATATTATAATTAAAAATTATTTATTTCAATTTTGTCATTTATCACTAGTTTTAATTATGTCTAGACGTAAATACGTTAAAATGGTAAACAAAAAAAAAATCAAAATTTAATTTAGTTAGTAAATGAAGAAATGCTAATAAACTTCTAAACATTAATTATCAACAAATATTTTTATTTGATTAGTATTACTTTAATTTGTATTTTAAAGAACATTTAGAATTAATTATAATCTATATATGTTTATTTATAAAATAGGATATATAAGTTAATGTGATTTTTTACTATATATTTATATTTAGTTTATTTGTTTATTAATGTTATATATATATATATATTATTGTAATAGTTACGCGTGAAAAAGTAGTTATAGATATATTTCAAAAGTCTTCAGAAAATAAATGTTTATACATAAAGTTATTTTATAATTATAGTATAAAAGTTATTAGCAATACAATAATTTAAAGAGTCTTTCTAAAAATTATAAAGTTTTCTAAAGAAATTTTACATATCATAACTAAGTTAATGCCTTATCATCTTTTTTTGAAAACCATGTCATCGTTTTTGGTAATGTGGTAGTGACATTTGTCAAAATTACTTCTCAAATAATGTATAAGAGATATATAACATCTTCTACCAACTACTTTGTTATGCATATTTCCCTAGTAATATTTTTTTATGGTTACTGATGCAAATTTCTCTTTAATTTTAAGAAACCATAGTATATTAAATGAAGTATGGTGATGATCGAAATAATATTCTAAGAAAGGTATTGATTTATTAATTGTATGGTTTGTGCTACTATTTAGAGATCAATAAACATCACTGAAAAAAACTATATATGTAAAAACTAGAAAATAGCAATGCATGTTAAATATGATAGAAAAAATAATAATGAGAGAAATAAGAAAAGGCCCAAGAAGACAAATACAACGAAGATGCATAAAATATGTTGGAGAATGAATGTGATAATTGCATAGATGATTTTACACTAAAACTGTTTTATATTAAATATCTTTTAATTTTATAAAAAAATGAAATTTACTTTATTTTAAATTAATAAATATAATCTGTTTTTATTCTAAATCATATTGTGAATTTATTAAATTTTTTGGTTTGAGGTGAAAATACCACACATATTTTTTGTTCGGAGCACAAAATTATTAAATTAAAAATTAAGCAAAATGTAATGATTTATATTTCCGATTTATATAGTTGAAGAAAATCTAAAGTAAGAATAAATAATTTTTTTTTTTCTAAAAGTATCAGATTTTAATATTTGATATCACTCAAATGTTTAACCCTAAGGAGTGAATTACTCTCTCAAATAAGAGGTTCAATCGTAGTACTTAGGGATCGAATCCACAAGGAACTAGAGTCACAAAAGATATAATCCTAAGTGATTAAGCTAGGTTGATTAGGTTTAAAAGCAATAAATAAAAGTTGTGAGCAATGGTAAGTTTCTCAAGAGAATAGGTTTTGGGTTTTAAAACAGTAAAAGAAAGTAGCTAGATTCAAGGTTACTATTCAGAAAATCCGGATTATAGATCTATGGATGTCTTAACGAATTGCTTGCAAATATATGAGAACTTTAATGCTTAGACAACTCTATAGCTGTCAATAGTTAGACTCGCCCATTGACCTGAGTGCCGACAGTATCGATCGA